AAAAAAAAAAAAAAAAAAAATGATACAATTTAATTATTAATTAATAATAATCATGTAAGAGTATGTGTGCGAGCGTGGTGGGGGTATGTGTATGCAAGTGTGTATGAGAGAATACATTTTTGCGTAAAAAAAAAAAAAGAAAAAGAAAAGAAGGAAAAGAAATAAAAAATGGAAATAAACGATTATAAGTATTGAAGAAAAAAAAGAAAAAAAAAGAAACAAAAAGAATAGAAAACGAAAAGCAAAGAAAAAGAAAATGAAAAATGTTTCGAGAGATATAAAAAAAACACAGTATTGCCTTTTTCTCGTGGTTGAATCGGTCTCGTGTCGCAAATATCTCACTCATCTCTTCTCCTTATGGTTTTTAATTAGAGCAATAATAAAATCTAATCGACAATCAAAGACATTTCGACTCGAGTCCGACCTACGCGATTGTTCCTTCACTTTTACAATTTAAACAAAAAGTATAATTCGTCTTCATTCATCTCTCTTTCTCTCTCTCTCTCTCTCTCTCTCTCTCTCTCACACTCTTTCTCTCTTCTTGTATCCTTCTCATCTAATTTTTTGTTCTTTCCCATAGCCCCCTTTCTTTTTAAAATTTAATTAAAATTTATTCTCTCTTATATTAAATCAAACTGGGAATTATTTTTGTCAATATTCACGTATTTTTAATCCTTTATCTTGCATATACATACTCTCTCTCTCTATTTTTAAATGATTTTCATTTCATAGAAATATTATTTACATATTTACCATCCCATTTTATTTTTCACATTTAAATATCTTTTCTCTTTCTTAATCATTTTTAATATTAAATCTATTTTTCCATTCTTTCTCTTATAATCTTTCTCTGACTCTCTCTCTCTCTGATTGTATTCTTTTCATTCTCATTAACTTTATCGATTACATCAATGACCTAGATTACATATATATATATAACTTACTTAGTTTTCAATGAGCATGCATACAATTTCTATTCTCATTAAGGAATTGAATCTTTTTTTTTTGTTTATCTTCCTCTATTGTATGATATTCAAAAATAAATTTGAAAAAAAAAAAATCCTCCAATATATTTCACGAGGTATATAAATATAATATGATGCATTAAAATTATTATAATAAAATTGTATTGTATTATTCGTGTTAATAATTTTCTCTCTCACGTTCTCTCTCTCTCTCTCTCTTGAAAAAATTAATATATTATATATAATAATAATAATAATAATAATAATAATAATAATAATAATTATGTATACAATCTACTATTTTTCTAATCTACCATCTCTTTATTGTAACGCAAACGAATCTTCTCAGTTTAATTACAAAGTGTGTTTGAATTATAATTAATAAACAAAAAAACAAACAACAAAATCCTCCTGCACCCCCCCCCTCCACCCCATCGCGTACACGAATTAATTAAAATAATCGAACGAGGAAGATTAAAGTATAACGAACCGATAAAATACTTCGATGGGGTTGGTTGGTTGGTTGCTTGATTGAACGTTTTTACGATAGACGTTTATTAATAAATAAAAAAAAAAAAAAAAGGGGGGATTGAATTAACGCGAGAAAAAAAAGAAGGTAATAAGCCTCTGAGAAAGTGGAGAAAAAAAAAAAACGTCGAAATTAAAATCAAATCGAATTACCATCTCGGTTGAATCGAATTTTCATTAAGTCAGTCGCGTTAGAAATAATTCAGGAAAATTAACTTTTCATTTTCTTTTTACTTCTTCTTCTTCTTCTTCTTCTTCTTCTTCTTTCATTCGTGTTTCCAACTTTTCTACAAATTATTTCTCAAAATCCAAACCTTTATTATCTTTCAACTCTTCCTCATTTTCTATTTCTTGTGTTTTAATTCGTGTTATTTTTCCTAATGATTCTTGTGTTCACGTTTTTATTTAAAATAAAACAAAAGTATTACAAAGAAAGATAGAGAGAGAGAAAGAAAGAGAAACGGAAATATGCACTGAAAATTCTTTGAAATTACATTCACATTCACATTCACATTATAATAGTCATCATCATTATCATTATCATCATCATAATTCTAATTATTATTTTTATTATTATCGTTTACGAGGTGCCCTACAAATAAATAAATACATAAATAAATAAATAAATAAATTAATTAATTAATTAATTAAATATATATACAAAATGATATACGTTATGAAAAGAATGAAAATATTAGACCGTATTTAAAAACACGTATATATATATATACATATTATATAAATATATATAATTATAATAGTAATAATAATAATATTAATAATAATATAGTAATAATAATTAGCATTTGTTATTGACTATAATATACGATCAAAATTAATATCGTGTTTTAGTAAACCGTTAGATCAATCATTCAACTTTTAAAAAACAATTGTACATTTATTCATACACATATTTAACAAAAAGAGAAAATATAAAAATCAATTATTCCCTACAACAAACACGTTGCATCGAACGTGCCAAATAAAAGTATCATTAATGGGATCAACGTAAAAAACAAAAATCATATTTTTGATCGTTCAAAAAAAATAAAAAAGAATACATTTTTAACAAATATAATCAATTATAATTCGATAAAAATCGATAAATAAACACGAAAGCACGTTCGATTATAAAGAAAGAAAAAGAAAAGACATTATTGTAATTCGAATGATTTCTAATTATTTCTAATTTTGTTAAATAATATTTATAACGATTCCTAAATCCTCTCTCTCTCTCTCTCTCTCTCTTTCTCTCTCTCTCTATCTCTCTCTCACTCTATCTTTTTCTATTTCTACTTTTTCTTCTATGAATTTGCGTAATTGTAAAATTATACCAATTATAACAAGTTTTATCTACCATATGCATGTATAATAAAAATATGAAGAAAACAAAAAACATTACCCTAATAAAACCCCCTTTCCTTACCCCATTTACATACACGCATATATAAAATATATTTCTGTACTTACTGTTACTTAAAAAAAAAAAAAAAAACAGCAAAATAAATTAAAGGGAGAACAATTATTGTCGATTCATTTGAGAAACTTTAGTCAAAAATAATATATATAAAAGAAAATGAAACATGAGAGAAGATTAAGATGATGAAAATGATTGATTGATTGATTGATTGATTAATTAATTAAGAAATATGAAATAGCCAATTTAAATCAGCGTTAGTGTGTATTTTCCCCACCTCCCAAAAACTTTGTACGCTACGAATTCTGCAAGGTTTATTAAAATGTAATATAAATAAAGCACTTTACGAGAACAAATTAAACAATGATCTACCATTAATATCTACACATTATACATAATCTTATTTTATCTATGATTTCAATTGATTTATTATTCTATTTATTTTGTTTATCTTATGTCTTAATAATAGTATATTAAAACGAAAATAATATACTATTATGCAATGAACCCTAACAAATTATATCTACTGTTAATTAATTATTAATTATAAATCCTAGACAAGAGACAAATGTTTTCCTAAAATCAAAAAATAAATGAACAAATGAATTAGTTAAATAGGTTTGAAGTAAAGAGCAACACTACGACGTAACCAAATATTTCGATTTTCCCTAGGACAACCAATTGGAAATGAACAAACGAATGAACTACGTTGAGAATCATTATAAACTGGTATACTAATCCAATCCTTGTCCTCTTTTTTTTCGTAATACGAATGCAATGTTTTTTTATCCGAATCTTTATCAAAGGAATATCGTTCGGGTAAATATGCAATTTGACAAATAGGAGCAGCTGCAATTGGTGCAGCATTAACGTCCACGTCTTTCAGTGTGCTATCTTTGATCAGAGCACCTGTTTAACAAACAAACAAACAAAATTATTGGAAAAAGTAGTGATGGAAACATCAAGCAATTATTTTCTTTCTTTTTTTTTCTATCAGGACTCTTGTTAAACGACAAATATAACTGTAGTTTAATACACGTGCAAAAGGATTAAAATAATCAATAAATAAAATAATGAATTGAATACCTGAGATAAGAAGACCCTCAATAATCACGGATACCTTCCACTGTTCACTTCTATTATCATCTAGCATCCAATTAACCCTTAATCGTAAATTTTCAAGAGGATGATTGATCTCACGAGCTGTGTGTTGTTTAAGGGCAGCTAAAAAGGCCCTTGGCCTGGCAAGTTTCGATAAATCGACTCGAAGTGGAAAACTCATTTCAAAGGATTCCAATATTTGATATCTTGTTAATAAACCATGAACGAATGTTACTGCATCCTTTGGTCCAGATTGCCACTCATTCATCCATTTGTTAGGTGTCTTTAATTAAATACAATATTTAATTAATTAACACTTGTATTAAAAATAATTACACGACTGTTAAAACATTTATTAATATTTTAAAAAATAAGAAACGATGAACGAGATTACCTTTGTATCCTCGATTCTAATTAATTCGAGATCCAATCGTATTCGATTTAATAAATCTCGAGTAAACTCGAGCTCGTCTGCGAAGAAACGTTTGAGAGGAGTCTCTTTTTTAATATCATTCGAGAGAGGATTCAACGATGCTTCAATTTTCGTCAAACGTCGATCCAATAATTCCTTTAAATCTTTTTCGATTGTATTATCTGATCTGGTTCTACCGCGAGTCTTCTCGTTGCTTGATATTTTTATTGTCATACCTGGACAAACAAATATAACAAATCTTTGATTATTTTCCAAGTCGATATACGCGTTGAAAAATAATTATATTTCATTTATAAAATTTGCAAATAAAATTCTAATACATTTTAGAAATGATTGAATAATTTTGTAAACTCGTAAAAATATTTCAAGTAATACATTACGTTAAGCAACACACCTTCCAAAATTCCCTCTCTGCTTAAATTAAGCATAATAATAATTTACCTTTGAGAAGTGTCAATGCAATCTCAGCAGCTACCCTTTCCCAAGCTCTGTGAGCATTAGCAGGTAAACCAAAGTATTCCCTAGGTGAATCTTCACTGTCCAAACGTTCCACGATCTTCATCGGATCATTTTCCGAGATATCTAGGATATTAAGAACCCCAGCTAAGGTACGACGACCTTCGAAGACATCCTTTGACCAAATTTCACGTATGATAGCACAAAGTGCACGCATATCGTAATCGTCCTGAAGTCTTCCACCGTAAACAGCAACGTCCAACAATCCTTGACCAGTCTCCCAATTTTGCGTTTGATTACTTTTAATTGTTTTATCAACTATCAACGTATAAGCAGCACCAAGATCAGCTTCGTTCCATTCGTAAGATCTGATCCATGCTTGGGGAACGAATTTTCGTCTTTCTTGAATGGTCGAATGCAACCACGAAAGTAAAAACATTCCAGGAATATTAACATTCGTTTTTTTATCATCCAATTGTTGTAATTGTTGGAATGATCTTTTGAAATTTCTTTGAACACCTTCGGGTGGCTCGTAAGCCAATTTTAAACATAGCCCAGCTAAACCAGGATAAAATCCTTCACATTCTTCGGTGGTCAACCAAATTCTCGTTGTTGAATTTTTATTTGCTGTACACATTGGCGATCTCAATAAACTTTCCAATCGTGGTAACCATGTTAATGCTAATTGCAAATTACTCAACAGTACCCAACTACCATTTCTATGAATGACAATTGAACATATGCAATATAAACGATTACGATGATCTTGATTGTTTAATAATACTTAACGAATTCTTACTTGCATGCAGTTTCCAAAGCAAGCTCAGCTTGTGTAACCTGTCCTTGTCCTAAAGAAACTTCAGTGAAACCAGTTGATGATGCTACAAGATTACCAACCAATGATTTTAATTCTGGACCGGGATCAGCTCCAGGTGATAACAACAAAAGTATCGGGCTTGATCCATCGTTCTCTGCTATCTTTTGCAATGTCCAAGTTGGTGGTGCTAAATCTCGTACACCTATTATTTCGATTAACAAAATAAAGCTTATTTTTACAAACGAATTCAAGGCTTTCTAATTGCATTTCAATTAGAATTGTTAAAGAGATGTGTGGGGAGGAGGACTAGGAGATAACAAGAGACTTTTCTAAATAAATAAATTAAAATTTGCGTTAAACATTTGACGTTGCATAAATGATATTTACCTAATTGCGAGATAGCGAATTTCGATAGAGCAGTATGCAAATAATCCGGACGAAGTGCTTTGATAATTAGAATTCGTTGGATATGTGTCAAATTGTTGTCCGTGTACACATTACCAATATCGTTCAACCAATCACGTTTCATTTTCCCAGCTACCTGTTAGGAGACATATGCACACATATACATTTATATTTATTTATGTAATATATGCATAAGATTAATGCAAAATACAATGAAGATTTGTTTTGGATTGATTTGCGGTTTAATCGATATAACGATGACATATGCGAATAAACGTAGCATACCTGTGGCATGAAACTGGCCAATACTTTTACCGCTGTCCGACGTTCGTCAGGTATCCAATCGGGTACTTCCAAATCTACATTATCCCCGTTATTTGGTAAACCACTATCGAGTAATAAATTCCTATCAATTTCCGATATTGGATTTAAAGAGAGTGCCAAGTACAATGCTAACGTTAATCGGTGTTTCCTATATGCTGCTTTCGTGCAATAATGCACCGTCAACGCTATTAATCTAAAACATAAATTCCAAAAAAATCATTCATACTTCAAATATAAACCAATTATTATTATTATTATTATTCATAAGGTTTATATATATATAAGAAGAAAACCTATATACGTCCGATATTATTTTTAATGCATTTTCTCGCGATGAGAATAATAAAATCAATATTTATTGACCTCTTTTCAACTAGCCTATCCTGTTCCTTTCTCTCATCGGAAATGGCTATTGATCTGGTACTCTCTGCTTCAAGATAAATATCCGTGAAAGCTTCCGTTGAGAAAACGTATAAAGGATTCAACGATGTCAGTCCCTTAACAGCTTTGTAAACGTTAGCTGCAAATTTAGCAAGTCTCTCGCGACTCTCTATTCTTCTGTAATGAGAAACCATTGATTAAATTATTTTAATGTACCGGGTGAACTGCCATTTAACTTATATACATCATACACGTTCATTTTATATGCTTTTATAGATCAACAACAACAACAACAACAATAAAATCATAACTTGTAATCGTTGTTTCGTAAGAGTACTTATTAAAAATTACTCAGAAAAGAATTTTCTTGTAAATTTATAAATAAATATTAATGTTGTAATATATTAAAAATGTGTGTTGCCTTTGAATAATTCATTTAAAGTTTTTCTGGGAAAAATTCCCTAATTCCCTATTCTCGATACTATTAAATAAATAAATGGGTTTCTATATATAAAAAGAAGAAACTAAAAATATATAATAAAAGTTGATCAAAACTTGTTACTTTGAAATATCCTCGAGGCTTCGTCGACTTTCTTCGAGGGCCAATAAAATCTCTTTCGCTTTTGTTTGAGTCTTTTCCAAAGAAGTTAAAAGTCCGCCACCACCACCACCATTACCACCACTACCATTACTATCATTTCCTTGGCCACCCTGAGTTTCCTGTAAAAGATCTTGCCCTCTGGCTCTACCCAATTGGGCTAACAAATCAACACGTGCAGCATCTCGTTCGCCAGAAAGTTTTTCTTCCCGTTCTAAAGCTTCTCTCCTTCTTGATATAATTTCTGGAGTTTCCTTTAACAACACCTATAACAACGAAAAATCAAATACATTCATTTAAGAGAAGTTTCACATCTTTCTCTCAATGGTACTAAAAAAAAGCAATGAAAATATAATCAATTGAATTAATCCGTAATGAGATGTTCTTAAAATTAAATGAAAAATATTTAAATAAAAAGATTGTGATCATTTGTTGAATTGAAATAAACGATTAAATAACCTTATCGACGAGTCTCTCGGCTAAACTTCTCGTCCCAGCACCCAAAGCAATTTGAAAAAGTACAGCGTCAGCTTCCTTAGGAATATTATCCAATCGATCCTTCCTAGTAGCCAAGAACAATTGAAATCCTTGCTGAGCAGGCAAATCACGATCGCAAAGTCTCAATGGTCGTTTTCGTAAAAGTTTTAACAAAATCGATGGAAATTCAATGATTTCTTCAACCAACAATGGCTTCCCAAATCTCACAGCTAATTCTAATGCGGTATAGAACTTCGTATCCTCGGCTTTAGTAATTTCTAATTTGGATCCGATGTTTGATTTAAGCCAAGATACCGCAACACCTGATGGGTCGAGGAAAATTGGTACTAATGGTCCTCTCAATGCACAAGCAGCACCAACAAGACTTCCGGTATCCGCTGGGAGTCCCTGTGCACGCCAAATTAATCTTTCTCGTTCATCGATCAATAACTCGATGGCTGATCTTTTCCACTTGTCGTCCCTTTGCGGATCCTATCGAAAAAATATCATTTTTCATATTGATCGCGAATTGATTATTATTCATTATTAAATAATAAACAACATACTTGATAAACCAAAAAGGATGCCACGTTGGCAGCTTCAACGTCCAATCTTTCTTTACGATTTGTCAATTCTTCCAATTGCGTTTGCCAATCCCGATGTTCTTTGTCGAGTTTCAACAAAAGTGATCTAGCAGTAATAAGACTGGATTCCGTAGATTCGGTTCTCAATTGCAATGATGCAGCACCACGGGAATGTTCGGCCAATTCTTCTTGCAATTGTGCGACCCGACTCTCAACTGTGTTCAAACCAGCTGCCAATCTTCCGAGTTGAGCTTCGGCTGCTGATAATCGTCTGATCGTGTACGATTATTCAGTTTTCTTTTTTCTTTTCTTTTCATATTGGACATAGGACAAATTTTTAATTTTTAATTTAAAATTTTACTCACTCGGCTAATAAACGTTGTTCTCTTTCCAAGGGTGCCACTTGTTGAAGTATTTGTCCGTATTGCAAATTAGCAAGAACCCAAGCAGCCAACGGGGCTGCTGCAATTGACGCCCTTCTAGCAGTTTTTTCTTCAAAACTATCTGGACGTTCTTTAACCAACTTTGCGACCGCATCTAAACTTGCCGAAGTACTTCTCCTTGCATCCCAAGTTCTTTTATAATGGGAAAAAAAAATACAATGAATAATTTATATTACGTCAGATAATATAACTTAAACGATATATTAGGAATTATGAATATCTTGCAAGAGATCTAATTTTTTAAATATTATAATATTAAAATGACCTGATTTCATCTTTGATCCCACGTTTAGCTAAAAACGTTTTCATACTATTCCAAGACGTATCCTTGATACCCATAAGTCTCAAGACACCTTCGAGAACATCTCTAACAGGTGCTGGAGGTGCTCGTAACGATCTAACTTCGGCAAGAGCATCAGCACTTATACCAGCAACAGCCTGTGCCGCTTGTTCGACCAATGGTTCGACTTTACTTAATTCTCCTTCGATATCGGCCTATTTAAAAAATTAATTCCAGAATATATAATTATGTTTATTTATAATAAAAGTGCATATAAATATGAAAATACCTTTCTTCGTGCTAATTCGGCACTCTCTCGTTCGGTTTCAGCTTTTAAATTGGTCATCTCACCTCGTTGACCTGTTGCACCTCTCATCGTTGCAGTAATTTTTTCCAAAGCTGCATTGGCCCTACCTTTTTCGATCTAAATAATAAATAAACATTAAACATAAGAATCAAATTACTTGATCGGGATTTAAAATAATACGTACCTCAAGTTCCTGCCTTTGTTTCGACACTTCATCCTCCAATTTAGCAACGTGTTCACCGGCTTCCCTTAATCTGCTAATACCAGCGGTAAGGCTATTAAGTTTACTTTCAACCTCCTCACTCCAAATTTCACGAAGCTTTTCCGTTGTACAAAGTAAAGCTAAGAAACGTGCCGGCGCTTGCTGTTGCTTCGGTGCTTGCAGATGGGCTTTAATCATAACTTCTATACCCCCCTTTGATGATTCTACGATAACATCCGATCCATGAGAATTATTATATTGAATAGCTAACTCGGTCAATGGTGCTTCGTAAGACCACCATTCGTTTCCAAGACTTGGTCCAATTACTGCACAGATTCTCAACAATCCGGAACGTGATAAGAATGTTGATTTCAAATCACCGATGTCTAAGATTACGACTACGCGAAGATAATTTCGAATACCTGGGAAATGATATTTGCCATTGATGTTTTGATAAAAGAAAAAAAAAAAGAAGAAATTGGAAATATTAAAAAAATAAATGCTCACGATGATAAAAATATTGTTCCAACGTGCCAGGAAAATCTTCTCTCCTTGACAAATCTATCAATGGTGCTATCATACCATCCAATTCCTCGATTGAAAAAAGTCCTGGAAGTTCACCATTGGCAATAATAGCGCTGACCAAAATTGACGTATCTTCCTCTCTCATATGGTGTTCCTCCAGTAAGAGCATCGTTGGTTCCCCATCGATACCTGCCGTTTGAATTGCTGATTTAATCGAAGCTTTAGCTCGTCCAGGTCCCGAATCGATATAACGAAAGGATGAAAAAGTTGCAGCTAATTTGCTAGCTGATTTTCTTCCTGATCCTGGTCGTCCAGTTAAGATGACACCACGTAAACGTGTTCCAAATGTCCAACAAATTCCTATCAAATGATAATACGATTACGAAATTGATTGGATTATAAAATGGTACTTTTTGGCCTTTCAAATACGAATAATATATAAATTTTAACGAAACAATTGAATTCATTTGAATTACCAGCAACCATTTGTAAAAGATGTGACGTTATTGTTGCATGTATTGGTTCACCTTCTCTCGCACATCTTGCAGCAACATTTACGATATTATCTTTCCATTCTTCTTCCACGATAGGCAACAATTCAGTATTACCAATTTTCCAAACGAATACATCGTTAATCGAATTTTTAGGATTGACAAATTGTGCGGACAATATGGAATCCCAATTGACACGAGCTTCAGCTGTTAATCTGAACAATAAATATTATCAAAAAAAATATCGAACAAATTTGATTTAATCATATTTTATTTCAAAGAAAATAATTACTTCGGATAGAATAAACGTTTTCCAGCATCGAACATATAACTTGTAAGATCATTCTCGTTTTCAGGAGATAAATAATAACCAAGACAATCAGCCCATAAAATAAGATCCTTTGGTGTCCACAAGAAAGAAGACAATTCATTGGACAAATTTATTGATTGATAAGCCTCGAACATAATCGGCGATGTCTTCGTAATCCAGGAATCAATAAAATCATCTTTTTCTTTTAATGCACTTCTAAGATGAAGTTCTAACATAGCAACAATTTCTTTCGAACTTGGACAACTAAATTAATTTAACACAAACATTTATAACAATTATTAAATTCATGCGTTTTGTTTTTAAATATATTAATTCATTATTTTAATAATTATGTTAATACAAACGGTAAATAATAAGTTGCCATGAGACATTCTAATCTAGGATGAAGTGGAGTATTAGAATCAGCTGTGGAAATAATTGTTAATGGGATTCGTGCGAATTCTAAATCATCCTCGTGAAATCCTTCATCTTGCAATAATTCTCGTACCAATTCCTACAATTAAAAATGACTTTATTATCTATCGTTCTATCCATTAAATTATTCCGAACTCTTCGATCAACTTCTTCTGCAACGCCCTGTATATTTGCTACGGAAATAAAAAACTAACTACCTGCATCTGTTTGGAAGCCAGATGAATATCTTCGAGTATTAAAATAATACGAGAACCATTTCTGGGTTTATAAGTTCTTCCATGAGAGGAAGAATCAAGACGAACGCAGGCGCGTTTTAACCGAGTTAAAAGATCCTGTGCACCGTATAAAGAAGATCCTTGTATCAAGGTCATGGACGGTGCATTATACTGATTTTTTAAAGAGGATAATGCAGCAGTTATTAATGTACTTTTACCTGAACCCTGTTCTCCTCGTAAAATAACAGGATAACTATTTTCTATCCAAGGTAAGATAGATGCTAATGCTCTTTTAACGGGTCCTATTAAAAAAATCATAAATATCACTTTTCTAACACTTCTTATAATTATTTGATACGTTCGTAAAGAAAATTTACCCGATAATAATATAGGACCATCCTCGGTTTCAATCGATTGATAAATATCGATGAAAGGTTCTAATCGATCAGATTTGTCATTGTACAGAACATCTAATGGCTTTTCGGGATCTGGACACCAACAATCGGTTAACTGATAAATCAAACGTCCTAAATTATCTCTGACATTTTGATCTTCGATTTGACAACATAGAGCACCGAGAAGTCCCTCCGTGTATAAAGTTTGCGTATGCGCGTCACGCAAATGATGGAAAACAGAATTGATCAGACCACAAGCTGACGATCTAATCGAATTCGATTGAAAGATTTCATTGATGCAAGTGGAAACATGTGTAGTAACATTGTCTCGAATATTAGCTGGCAAATCATCAGGAATCAAAGCTTGTAAAAGTGAAGTTGGACTAATTGTTCCAAGATGGACAACACCCAATCGTGAAACTGTTGCTGGACTAGCACTTGCCAGTTTATGTGTCTCGAATATGAACCTATTTTGTTTTATAATTAAATTGTTAATAAACGAATTAGTATATTTAAGATATATTAATGATACAAATATATTTTAGATTATATATATATACCTGATACCGTTTCCCAGTTTGACACCAACTCCGTTGGGTAATGTCAGTAATCTGTTGTCATCCAAGGCAGAATTTAAAGCCTCTGCCCATTCTGGTTCAACGTCGCCATTCAAAATAATCCAAGTTGAATTATCTCCTCCAGCTGTTATTACTGCACTCGATAACAAACCTTCTTTCCATTCTCTTTGAACGATAAAACAAAAATATTATTAACACAATTCAAATTAATTATCTTTTTTATATTATTATAATAAAATGAAAATTGTGATTTTTGTTTACCTTGTTTGTGAATCAACTCGTCCTAAAAGTTTGGATTTGGGTACAGCACCAGGATAAATGATATACTGATCAACCGATTCTCCGATTTTCGATAAAGCTTCGGTTAATAATTTTCTTATAACTGTCTTTCCGCTACCAGGTGGTCCAACTATTGCAACACCTGTTCTACTTTTTAATTGATCGTACAATTGTATGCACTGATCAATAATTTTCTTGGTATAATTACCAGACTCGCATAATTCAATCAATGCTTCTCGTAAATCTTTCTTTTCGTTGGACACTTCGGTTAACGAATGATCTACGTTAGGAAATACGTCGTCTAACAAATCGAGAAACTTTTTGGCATCTTCCTCGGTTAATTTTGGCAATGTTGAATCTTTAATTGCGATAAATAGCCTATAAACGAACAACAATTCAAATTAAACTTAAATTTCTTTTTTGTTTAATATTAAAAACGTGTAATATTTATTATGGGAATATTTTCGTACCTGGTTGATTCGTCCAATTGATTAACAGGTGAAATAGCATCTAACACTGATCTAAGTGCTCTAAGACCCCAATCGTAATGCGGCTGTTTGGAAAGTAAATTAAATGAGATTTCAAATGTTTCAACCAAACGATTAGCAAGCATAGAAGATTCCAAAAAACCAGCACACTCTAACAAAGCACGAATTATATCAAATTTATCAGGATGAGCCATGCCAATGGGTCTGAACAATCTGGCCAATGAATCTGGAAGTCTATGACGTCCACCGTATTCGTTTCCAGCAGGATTCATTGTAATAAACACGCAACAATGTGGATCAAGATTAACTCTTTGATCACCTAAAACAACTTGGTTCAACCCATCCCTGACAGCTTCTTGAAGTGGTCTAACCAACATTGCAACGGCACTCAATGTTTCTTCTTCGAGACGATTAAATTCATCGAAACAACCCCAAGCACCTGCTTGTGCTAAACCACCCAAAATTCTTTTCATGCTGCCTGCATCCATTCCTATTAAAAACAAATAAATCATTCTACTTGTTAATTATAAATGATATTAAATTTGAATTACGTAGGAGACAAACCTTCGTCGCAATTGAAGACAATAACAAGCCTTCCCAAAATACCACCAAGTGCTTTAACACTCTCAGTTTTTCCAGTTCCAGCTGGCCCAGTTGGGCTACCACCCAATCCAAGTTTCATGGCTTGGGTTAATGCAAGGAAACATTTTTCTGTAAGCGAAGTCCAAACTAAACCAACTGCGGCTCCTTGATATTCAAAACGATATGGAAATTCAGCAGCAGCGCATCTTATAATTGGACCCTTGTTCTATACGATTTTTTGTCAACATATTAATTTAACGAAATAATGATCTTCTGATAATAAATTCATTATTTAACAAAATCTTTTACTGTTCTGTAAGTTTTCAGTTGTCTGTACCACAACCACGAAGTGGATTCACCCATCTCGAGATTATTCAACAATGTTCTAGATATTTCAAGATGATGAACAGTGTCGAGAAGTAATCCTCGAGCTTTAAGAACAGTTAATTTGTCTCCGACATCTTCCAATCCCCTATACCTTGCTCTTTGAGTATCCAAAAATTCGACCAACTTTTTCAAACCCAATACACCCTCTTTCAAAGCAGCCTCGCAACGTTCAGTAAATCTAATCCTCTCCGATAATAAAAGTATCTAAAGATAAATGAAAAACTAAGTACAAATATCTGACAAGTGTTAACATTTGATATCTGAATAAACAAATAATGTTTGTCCCAAAAAATTCATTTTTTAATAATCCCAATATAATTGTTCATTCGATCCCAATAATATTCGTACCTGATTAGGATAAATAGAAGGATCAGGTGAGGAATCTGTCAAACATTTATCAAGACTCTGCCTCAATGTATTCCTCATACCTTTCTCAAGATTATTCAACCATCTTGGAAGTGGTTCGCTCGTATCTATAGCCTCCAATAACTTTAGTATTTCACCCTCTGGTGAAACCACAGCTGTCAGGCTATTATCATTTTTTATCACTGATCCTATACCTTGGTAAAGTTTTGGTAAATGAGATTCTAAAGCTTTGCCGCTTCCTGAAACGAGTTCTAAAAGATCCTCGTCGCTCAAAAAATATAAGCGTGGATAAGACGATCTTCTCTCCTATTATTTAAACAAAATCAAAGCAACAAATAAATAAATAAATAAATGAAATAAACGGGGAAAAAAATCGTTTCCAAATTTAGACGATAATTAAATAAAGAGAGTTGACGATGTGATTATTATAATTATTATTAAAAGAAAATTACATACTTCTAAAAATTCGTCGAGACTTCTTTGACATCTGTCGAGTAAATCCTTCAAATTAATTAAAGCAGGTAAAGGTAATCTTCTAATAGATGATACTCGAGAATCACGTGAAACCTCACCCATTAGATATCTAATAAAAAAATATATGGAAAATAATTGATTTCAATCAAACGATCAATCGTTATATTTAATAATAAACTGACCTAAATTCTTTGTCAGTTCTCGACCATTTTCCAGAATCATTGGGTGCAGCACCGCTACCATAAATGGGTTCCAAGTAAACCCATTTTCTTTGAACAATACTAAGTATCTTAATACGTTCTTCGATCTCTGATAAACTAGCTTCACATCTTGTAGCTCTTGCTGCAAATCTTTCGTAACCAGCAGCACCCTTTGCACCCTCCAACAAAAGTCGTAATTCACCTATCGGTCGTTTACGTTTCGTTCATCAAAATAATATTCCAATTTCGATAAAGAATCAATTAAAATAATATTGAATTATCGAAGAAAGTACCTGTCCTAGCCAAAAGATTGGAATATTCACCGACAAGATAAATAATCGAATGTTGACTGTCCTTTGATTGTTGAATTTGTAGACTGGCTGATGTCTCCCAAGATTCTAATTCCAATATCGCTTGTCGTATTCCACTTTCGGCTGCAGCTCTTTTTGTAATTTCCTATTAAACGATTTATCCATTATAATGAAAGAAATTCTATACACAACACATTGAAATATTTAATAATAATTCTATACAGTATAAGCGCAAGAACTTTGTACGTTGACATTTGTTTCGTACAAAAATTATTAATCGTACAAATGATCAAAACGAGGATCAAAAGATATTTCAATAAATTCTAGCATAAAAAAAACATCACCCACCTTAATACGAATGACATTGTCCTTTATTTTATTCTTAGAATCAAGTATATTACCCAATGTTAAATCTCTTAAATTTTTAATATCATTCAAATCAAGAACAGATTTTAATTCATTCCAATGTTCCTCGGCAATTTCATCACCGCGAAGAAGTTGAATCCATTCTATCGCATCACGAATTTCTCTTAATTGTTTCCCAACAAAAGTTTCGATTTTGATATTATTATCGTTAAGAGGATTAGAAGAATCCTTGTCGTTTGATTGCAAACGAATTCTCGTTTCCCAAGAATCAAGCCAATCGTGAAGCCTCGGTAATCTTCTTCTCGCAACAGCCCATTCCTCGGCCCTTTGATTATCGAGTTCCTCGATAAACTCAGCTTGAAATCTACAATTGGATTCCTCAGCTTCCAACTGGGCTTCGAGTTTCTTCAAATTCGTCGAATCGTCTTCGATTATTTCGCTCAAATTAAAAGCAATTCTTTGGCAATCGATAGTTAAACTATCTCGTTGTTCTGTTAAAGTAATCCAACGATCTCTCATCGATGATATCCAATCTATGGTTACAATGTCGGGTTTTGATAACCACTTGGTTTCCCACCTTTCAATTTCGTCCCTTAATGCTATTCCCCGATGACGTAAATTTACTTTGGTGTCCTCCAATTGATGAGCCACAACTGTTTTATGTTTCTCCAAACGTTCCGCTAATTCTTGCCAAGCCAAATTAGCTGAATTTATTCCTGTTAAGTATTACAATATTAACAATCGATATAAATCAATAAATTTTTGTAAAACAAAAATTGCGATTGATCACTGTTCAAATAATACCTTCCAATTTTTCACTTGTCCAAGCAGCTAAGACTTTAGCAAGACCAGCCACAGCTTCCATTTCATTTCCAACACCGTCATACTGTTTTTCAATTCGTTCATGAGCTTCATTAGCCAGACCAACTTCTTCAACGTTATGGGGTCTCTTCTCTAACTCTTTAGCAGCGAAAGAAAGGAAATCAACAATTGCAACAAGTCTTGAAAAAGCTTCAACGCGCAAATCGGAACACAAACGTTCCCAATAACGACGAGATGCTGATTCTAAATCGTTTCTAGTTGTTCCAGTGTCGATACTTATACACCAAACTTTTACATCACCTCCTCGCAATTTACCAACCTATTCAAACGCAATAGTTCCAAATATTAATAAGTGATTAATCGATTAAAATAATTATTATGTTTATTACTTCTTGAGCCCATTGTTTGGCATCCTTGAAAGCTCTTGTCCAATCATTTGGAGATGCTCCCTTTAATCTGTTTAAATTATCATCATATTGTAATCATAATAATCATCCACGAAAAAGATCCTAGATAATAATTAATATCATTTAATTAAACATACTTTTCACCGATATCAATTTTCGCTGGTGCAGCCAAGTTCAACCACTTGATCCTAACGGATTCTAAAGCATTTAAAGCAATCTCAGCTTGCTTGTAGACACCACCGAACAAGTATGCACTCTTCTGAACTAGGCTACCGAATTGAGCGTGTTCTACATCACCAACTCCGCGAAAATTCATAGGAATTGAGAGGGATCGTCTAATACCGGAATATATCTTGGCACGAATTTCTTCTAGAGTAGGTCGCCATTGTAACATTCCATCGCGAAATATTAACTCGACCCTGATATCCGGTAATTTTCTCAGCAACGACGGTAAAGCACCTCTACAAAAATTATTTATATATATAGTTAATGAAAATGATTCAAATTAATTGATCACACCTGTAAGCCACACCCAACGCTTTTAAAAGTTGCCTATCCCAATGTAATTTCCAAGCTGTTGTATTACCATACTCGTTTTCAACAGAATCTACAATCGTTCTCATATTTATCAAAGTATCCTTCCAAATATTCTGATTGCCAACCAAATTAATAGCTTCTCCTTTAAACAAATTCGAGACCAAGTTTCGCAGGTTCGAATGTTTAGCTGCTAATTCGGCATTCTGTCTAGCAAACTTTGTCACCTATTAACAATACGTATTTAAACTAATTAAATACGAATGATTAATAATAAAGTTGCAAAATTTATTTTCCAATTACCAATTCTCTAAGTCTATTTGTGTAACCATCGACTGCTTGAGGATCAGACCAAACAACACCAGATTGTTCCTTAACGGCTCGTGCCAATTCCAAAGCTGTGGTTAACATCAATGGTCTTTGAGAAGGCACCATACGATCACCAATGGTATTATGAAATGTAGCTACTTGTTGTAAAGCTCTTGCACGACCTGCCAATAAACTTGCTCTCTCAACAAGGTCTCTTATCTCTCTTGGTAATACAACACCTTGTCCTGAAAGTGCTCTCGCTTCTCTGATAAGGGTCATCAATCTCGGATCGTAATTAACTCGCATCAAACTAGTACCAGTTAACTCGACAACTGCGGAATCTGAACCCAGTGTTAACTGTTTCTTAGCTACAGCATCTTTCGTGTCATTCACCTATGATCGATCAGCGATTATTAATTTGTAAAAACGAGGAAATATAATCTGACATGTATATCAAATTTACCCAAGACTCAACGAGATATTGTCTCTTCCTTTCGGCATCCTTCAAAGCTGTCGTAACTTTGACTACAGTATCGTCGAATCCTGGAATATCAGCTAAAAGTTCTTTACCAAGTTCTAACAAACTTTCTAATCGGATTTCAGAATACCTTGCCGTCTGAATTTCTTGAAGTATTTTTGGAGTATCCAAAAGATCATCTGTGTCTGGACCGGCCAGACAATTCTCTAAAAAAAAAAAAAGAAAAAAAAGAATGACAATCAGAATGAGATTGAATTATTAATTGATTAATATTATTTATAACTATGATTACCAATCAGGTCATCGTACGCCAAAAGCAAAGCTTCGCGTTCGCTACGAAGAGCCTTTTTAAGGGCATCCCTTTTCATTAGATCAAAGTATCTTCGAAATTCCTCTAACAATGAATTAGATGTTTTTGCATCGGCAATCTGTGCTTTCAATTTTTGTGCAACTAATTCTTCGGTAGGCATTAAAGCTTCTTCAACTTTACGTATCATTCTATTCCATTCGATATCATTTTCATCATCGCTGTAAACAACTTTGATGTCTTGGAAATTTTCAAGATAATTATCAACGTCCAATCTCATTCTTTCGTTGGATGTTAAGAGTCTCATTAATTGACGATACTGAGCACGTAATTCACCGAGTTGTCTGGAAAAATATTATCTTCATTTTAATAGTTTCCTTAAAAAAAAAAAAAAAAAAAAAAAAAAATAAAAGCAAACTGTTTGATAAAAGTTTACTTAAGTCTTCTGCCAAGTTTAGAACATTTTCCAGGTACATATACGGCATCTTTCCAAGGATGAAGGGAATAATGGGGCCAAAAAAGTCCTGTTAATCTCTCGCTAGCATTCACCCATTTATCGCATACCATTGCACCCATGGATACCGTTGTATCTACGTTACTATGACCATGATGCGTCTGAGTTTAAAAAAAAAAAGAAAAGAAAAAGAAATATTATATAACATGCAGTGTTATAAATAAAATTGAAAACAAAAAAATAAATAAATAAATAAATTTGATTACCTCGTTAACAAGATTCTCAACGAGGATCACTGTCTCGTTTCCAATTATTTCCAAAAGAGATTTCATACGTTCCTCTTTATAAACCGTGCTGCCTAATTTCCAAACGTCATCGACGTACCCAGAAATCGCTTCGAGCGATTCTTCCAAACCGATAAACCCATCACCTCTGTTTATTTTCAATTAAAATATTAATTATTATAATATTTAACAATTTTTCTATGAGAATAAAAAAAAGGAAAATTCGATAAATAAAAGTCTACGTAAATGATGGATCGAATCAATTTGTTTATCGATTATTAATTATAATTATTCATTGATTGTTCATAATTATCACATGTCTTATAGTTCTTTCAAAGTATATTTCGTTGGTGACAAAGCTTCTTTTAAAATTTTTTAATATGGATAGCCAAAAGAAGCATTTGCAGCATGTTATGCTTCTTTGCTTTAAAATAGGTAATAGTGCAAAAACACTACTTCGATTATTAGAACCGTTCGAAATTGGGACAAGCTAATATTTATTTGAAATCTTTCATATTGCAAACCCTTGAAAATATGCAACACTTTAAACATTATCGCGAATGTTGCCTACTAGCTCCATCTAGCGGTAAGAAATTTTTTTTTACCCTTAACGATATGCAACCCTTCGCACGTGCATGTGAAGTGTGTTGCATACCAAAAAGGATGAAACAAAAAAGTTTTTAATAAAGGTAACGCTGACTAACTGCATTATCGACGATGTACAAAGTGTTGCATATGATGAGGCACAAGAAATGCAATATTTGCATGGACACAATTGAAAAAATTTAAATAGTAATATTTGTTTAAATATAATATAAATAAATAAAGTTATACCTTGAGACGGCCGCATTTTCAAATTCTTTTTTAATATTGTTCAATATTATAGCAGCCTCATCAAAAGTTGTTTTATCTCTCGTACGACTAGCTTCATTGCTACGTTTTATCCAAAAACTTTCTTCTTCAGTAATAGACGTAGGTGGACGTGGTCCAAGTAAATCTTCTTCTAATTTTTTCAAAGAAGTTGGATCAAATCCGAATGATTTCAGAGTAGGTGCCCAAACTTGTCGTAAAACTTCGATAAGAGTTAAACTTTCACCCCCACCGATCGAAGTTACTTGGACCAAATCGTGAAAATTTTCTTCCGTAACTATCTTTGCTGCTAGCTAATAATTACGATTATCTTATTGCACCTATATATATATACTTACAATAATTTTTTGTTATATAGATGTTAATTAAATTACCTTAAAAAATACCAAGGTATTCTTTCCAACGAGCAATTCATTGCTCAATTTAAGCGTAATCTCATCATTTTCCGATTGAATTGGCTGAGCACAAAGTGTCCTACACGTTGATTGATTAAAAAACTTGTCCAACACTGGCAAAGATAATTTAGAATTTTCTTCGTTTCCGAGAGGTACACCAAAAAAATAACCTGCCGTGGAAACTATGAAAGATCCTCGCTTATCGATCATCACCATTTTTTTTCTAGATCCTATTTTGTCGAATTTAATTTAGAAATGATTTCAACATCACGCAAACGACATTATACTTTGAATATATTCATTAGTATTTTATTTAGATTTTAAATACGTGATATATTTTTAATCCGAGTAAAAATGCATACTACGTGACGTGTATAAAAGAAAACATATGTGTTTGGACTTGCAGTTTGTCGATCGTTCGTGTTGTCATGACAACATAAATGAAAACAGAAACGTTACAAGCTCCACCTTGCGAACAGGTGTAAGGATTCTTACACGTGATTATAGTTTATTTTATTTTTTAAATAAGAGAGTGTATAATTAATAGATACAAAATTTAATTTATTATTCTTTTGTTTCATACTCAACGACTGCAAATGTTTCATGTTGTACGTACGATGATTATGATTGAATGCAATTAAATGCATCATTATTGATAACTTTATTATTATCGAAAGATTATTAGCATAATCGAAATGTATAGTATAGCATTTGTTGGGTTAGTTATTGGAAAACATTTCGATTTATTTCATGGTCAAAAAATATCTGCACGAATGCATATATATGAATTTCAACCATGCGTGTTTCCGTATCATAAAATAAACAACTCTATTGGAAAAAGTAAATAAATAAAAATCAAATAAAATGTAATTTGTAATTTACGCAAAATCATTTTAGATATCCCAGAATTTGGGAATATGCGATGTGCATGTGTGTATGTTAATTATTATTAAGTCAAGCATATGTGCATACGATAATGTAAAATAGTATAGATATTTTTTATCATAAAAGTGGAATTCTAGCATTTTTAAATGGAATAAACTTTCAAGAAGGTGAAATAAACTGATAATGATAAGAAATCGATAATATAACTTAACAACGATTCGTGGAATTATCATTATAGTTTGAGAAACAAAAATTATCAAGGAAATTTTCTTTTATCGAACAATGATCGTAATTCTATTCATATACGCGGTGTCTTCAAAAATAAGTATTATAAACAAAAAATTATTTGCTTGTAATATTATAAAAATGTCTAAACAAAATCAGAGATAATTATTATCATTAAAAGGGGAAATCCAAGAAAGATGATCAATTATAGATTTACGATTCTCACAATGTATCTTACAACAAGGAAAAATAAATAAAGATTGCATGGTACAAAGGTTAACGAACGTCATAATTCCTCCTTTTTTTTTATTTCTTCCTCGTATAAAGCTAGAGATGAACTTATAACGACGTTGAGTTTTATTACGTGGGCGACAGAAACATTGGAAAAAAAAATAAAAAGAAGAAGAAGAAGAAAAAGTATACTTTATTAGGTTATCGTGTCTAATCCAAAATGAACACGTGCCGTTAACCTAATCGTTGGGTATACACAAGTAAATGACTAAGTAATCTAAAGGCATCTAACTATGTAAATCTTGTATCTATATTTAACAGTATCTGCTTTCCTTGAGCAATAATTAGAACAAATATGTGAATTATGGATTTTTTATAGTATGTCAATACTTGTCATTGTCGAAATATCGTTTTTTATGAAGTTTTATATAACAATTCTTATTCTGTAATATTTTATATAACAATTTGTAACCCAACAAAATATACTCGTATCCGTTATAAAATCATTTCTATTTTTATTTATACTTATATCGAAAAAAAATCAAACGAAAAAAGAATCGATTAATTATGGTTGGTTTATCTCGTAAAGAGTTATAAAATTCTTCTGCAATTAACTTAATGACGATTTATGATTAATTTTCGATAACGATCTTCTCGACGTGATTCATTGAATAGATAAATAAATATATAATAAATCTACTTGAAAGAAAATGTATCGTGAAACAAAACAAAAAAAAAAGGGTAACTTTATCTCGTACGTGCGACACTTCACGATACGTCTGAATCTTATCGATCATTAATTAGGCATTCGAACTTGAGAAAGGACAGTTCGATAAACTCAAATTTATTGATTAAAATTCTCTATCAAATGCAGTCTTCCGAATAACTGTCAAACCATTGATTATGTGTTCTCGACGTAGATCTTACTAGTACGTTTATTTTATTTTTCTATTATTATTATTATTATTTCATTTCTTTTAATAGTAATTTTTTATTTCTGCTTCACAATTATTACGACATTAAATGAAATAACTATAAATAAATGTAAATATATATTTACACTTATCGATGATTTAACAATGAGATTTTGTGTAAATCACGTGTTAAAAAAGAGAAAAAAAAAAGATAGTTATTTCATAAGAATTACGAAGAAAACCAATGGAAATGACTCGTTAAGCAACAAAGTGAGATGTTTTATGTCGAAAGAAAATTGCATCTATAAACAATTATAGTGAGACAATTATTTCTAAAAAACTATCTTGAAGGTCAACACGGCTATCTTTGCATAACACTTTATACATATACACATGTGCAAACACTTAGCTATCATATACAAAGTTAATAATAATAATTTAGTATATATGGACACAAGATTAAAATAATCGATTTGGGAAAAACCGGCTAAGTAATTCGAGCATTTATTAAACATTCAACGATTTGGAATCTCATGAACTTTGAGACTCACAATCAGTTATTTTCCCGATCTCTGAATATTTTTTTGTTGTCACATAAAATAATAATAATTATAATACAAAATTAGACGCGTTTATTACGCGAATAAAATTTATTTCCCTGTCGAAGAAACTATGAAGAAAAATATTAAACGAATTTATTTTAAAATTTCTCATTTTCTATGAAATAATACGAAATTAATTACACGTAAAAATAAATGAAAAAATAACAAAGTTTTGTATAGATCATAAATTATATGAATAAAAGAACGCATACAGGGTGACTAATTAATTTGCAAAAGTTAAAGAACGAATATTTCAAACGATTATTTAAACCAAGGTCTCGTTTATGACGAAGCAACGAGGAAAAATCAACGCATCAACATTACGATAAACATCAGTTTGAAACTGAACATGCTTCGGGTTTAGTATAATTCTCTGCTTTTCTTCACATCAGTCAAGAGACAGCTTTCGATTCGTGCATTATATCCGATTCTATCTTTATCTATCTTACTAACTCCTGTACAAACAATTATTTATCTTATTCCTTTTAATTAAAGGGAAAAAATTATTTGTACAAAAAGAAAATACGTAAAATTAAAAGATTTAATTATTTTTTTCTTCTCTTCTATCTATTTCGCAAATATAAACAAGGTGAGTTTGTATCTATTTAAATAAATTTTTAGAAGACATTCTTTTATATATATACATATTTAATTGATTACTGAAAAAAAGAAATTTATCTGTAAAGTAATTTTTTTTTATTTTTTCTCTTTCTAATTTTTTTTTAACGTGTTAACGAGAGATGAGACACAAACTCTGCTTCTTTCTACTTATCCATCACGAACAAAACTCGAGTGTACTTTTGTTTTTTCTTTTTCAAGAACAGTGTCTTAAGGACGTGCCTAATTGGATTCCAAGTGTTATACCTATCTTGTGTTCTTCTGATTCTTTTTCTTCTTCTTCTTCTTCTTCACTTATCCCATTCACTTTGTTTGTGTAAATACCACTTGTTGCTAGTGGACATTAGTAAAGAGAATAGCTTTTTTTCTTTTTTTTTTTTTTTTTTTTATATTTGTCTCTTCTTATTTTTTTCTCTTGAAAATAAATCTTCATTCTTTATATATTTCCTAATTGGCACCTCGTTATATCTCGTTAATAAAATTCTTCAGCATTTTATATCGTTATTTTATTTATATATTTATTTAAGATAATATTTGTGACAATAGTTAGGATTAATAAAAATAACAAATTAACGCGACAAAACCAGGGAATGTTTGTTAAAAGAGATTATCTTTTACTGAAATAATTTCTATTTTTTAAGTGGAAATATATATCTCTATGAAAAATCAATAAGTGTAAGTGATAACCAAAAAGAAAAAAAATAAGAGATGGATTGTATCGTCGTACGTGCTTAATAATATCAGAACTACGAGAATTTTTTCTTTATTTCTTATTCACGATTAAATTATCGTCACTATCTGTTATCTATAAATCTATATGGAATTTATTTCGTCTCTGACACTTATTGCTATCACAAACTTTAATTTATCTATCTCATTCTGAAGGCTCATTCGTATTTTCATAGTTCGAAGTGAGGCATCGTGCGTTAACGTGAAAAAAAAAGAAAAAAGAACAAAGGCTATCTCCCAAACTACAAATTTTATTCAAAAGTAAGTTATATCTAAAATAAAAAAAAAAGAAAAAAGAAAATAATAATAATAATTCATTTAAAAATCTAACAAAGTTCGGCTACAAAATATTTGCAACTATATTTTTCCTCTCTTCTCTCTCTCTCTCTCTCTTTCTGTTAAAAAATAAAAGATTCGTTCAACTGATATAAAAAAAAAAATATTCTAAATAATCTTTCTCCATTTTTCTTCTATATTTTTCGTATTGATAATATCTTGTCCTATATTTTTTTGTTGCAGTATTCCCATAAAAGGAAAAAATATTTCAACCACCTCAAATATGACGGCTTCTACAAGTCCAACAAAAACTTCCCCACATCCACTAGCCATAGCAATATCTGTTCTAACGCATCTTCTTCTATTGACCCCCGTAATATATATCGTCGTGCTATCAGTTAATACTTACAATACTTTTTCATGGCATCCAATATTAACAACGGTTGGGGTAAGAAACTTTCTAATCTTTTTATCTTCATTCATCGTTCAGCATTTTAAGTAGGCTCGTATTTGCCATAAAATATACTAGGGGTTTTACCTGGGATCTCATTTTTTTTATGGGATCACACTTTCCAATCCCTTAAATCTTTCCAAATAACGATAAAAAATAAAAAGAAGGAAAAATCTTATAAAGAAAATTATACACACGTTAATTTGAATAATAATGTTACAAATTAATCCTTATTCGAGCAAGATGAACATCATGATTTTATTTACGTGAGCGCGTGTGTGTTAATATAATTAGCATTAAAAATTTACAAAAAAAAAAAAAACTATTATATATATAGAATGACACAAAAATCCGGCAATTTTGTATCCTGCGTGTTGGAATAAATTACAAAAGACAATCGTAGGATGATTTCGTAAAAGTGATAACGCCTTAGCCAATAGCAAGTCATCAACTAAACTCAGAAGTAAGAATCAACGGATAATAAATCTTTAGTGAATTGCAAGTTACGAGTTGTGTGATTCTAACAACAATTGATGATGATGGTGGTAATAATAATGCATATATTACAACTACAATCACTAGTGTAATTTATCTTAAAAACGAACTATACCGTTCATTAAGAAACGACAAAAATCGCGTGATATACAACTTCTTCTCCTTTGACGTTACATAAAATACTCGAATAAGGGGATTCCTTTTCTATTTTCTTTTGTGAATAAAAAAACAAATACGAACCTAATCTTAAGAACATTTAATTCTATTTCTAAAGATAATAAAATAAAAAACGTAACCATGAATAATATATAAAAAAAGAAATATATATATATATAATATTAATTATTATGAATTCAAACAGATCGGCCTGCTGATGCTGGAAGCAATTTACTGCGTATCGGGTGAGGCATACGTTTCTTCAAAATTGACACGAAAGAATCGAATATTGATTCACTGGGTTCTACAAAGTTTAGGATTTGTTTTAACGTTAGCAGGGGTGCTCGTAATAATTATAATGAAGGGTAATCGTTCGCACTTTACATCTGTACACGGAAAACTAGGATTAGCAGCAATGATATTATTTGCTATACTGATGATCAGTGGTATATTCGCGGATAATACGAAATGGTTTTATCCACGTATACGACCAATAAACATTAAGATCTTTCACATTGTTGGTGGTATTTTAGTAACTTTAGTTTTATTAGCTGCATTGATCAATGGTACATACACACGTTGGTGGCCCGATACCAAATTAGGAAGAGATTTAACATTTGCATCGTTCGTAATCGGTACAGCATTTACTATGATCAAACCAACATTGGGTGCAGTGTCCAAATGCAAATTTATGTTTCGCAAATCTACGACAAATACGTGAATATTGTTTAGTATATTTGGAATTGGTGTTTAACTGGTTAAATTATTGTTTTTAAGTTAAATCTGTTTTTTATGATCAATTACGCGCGTTATCACGGATTACATTTAAACGTATACGCGCATATGTGAGAATATGTGTAAGATAGTTGCAATACTATTCCGTCTCACAAAAACAAAAAATATAATCTATGTTTTATAATTTCGTAATGCATGCGGATCGTTATCATGGATTAATATCGTTGGGTAATTGAACCATATGCCAAATGTGTCAGTAACATGATTTGTTGATCCGGTGATAAGATAAATGAGAATATATGAGAGTTAGGGAATTTTTAGTAATTACAAATATGTACAACGTTCAAAGTTATATTATAATACCCTCTGACGAAAGATATATTTTTATATATATATAGACATATACATATATTTGTTTAAAAAATTCAATTTAATGAGTGATGTAGATCAAACAACATTCACGTTTTATTTGCATATAAATATAAGTATATTATATATATATATCTGGATTTTTGTTTATAATGAACATCATTAAATTTATGTAAGAAAAAAAAAGAAAAGAAAATAAATAAACCATTGTTAATTAAATCAATATACTCTATCTTTAGTATATAAACGATATGACTATATATACAAATAATTAAAAAATAATATATGACGATAATAGGTGTTAAGTGCATTGTCAATCGTATATATCAACACTTTATTAATTACACACGCATCGTATACATATACATAGAATATATATATATATAATGTATATATATATATATATATCTTTTCGCAAACGTGATGTAGATGTATATTAATAGGTTTTTATTCTAAATCTCTCAACGTTTCTCTCTTTCTCTCTCTTTCACCCCTCCCATTTCTTTCCTTCTCTTTCTTTCTCTTATATATTTATATATTTACTTATAATTTGATGTGAATAACTTTAACCACGTCATTTATAATTTGAGAATCTCTTGTCATAATTAATTTTATTTTTATATTTAGAGAATCTTTTTCATTTCGATTCTCTCTCTCTCTCTCTCTCTCTTTCTCTGTCTCTTTTTCTCTAACCTGGTTTTTTCAATAATTTATTTCGAGAGATTTTATACTTATAACATTATCCAACAACGTGTATACATATATATTTTTATATACATATATATCTTTATCTGTATTACGTATAATAATACATGATTATTCGTACAATATACATAAAACATATTCTTTCTGTCTCATTCGTTCATTTTATAGTTCTATATCTATCTCTATCGTTTTCTTTAATACCTATATACTTTGCCAATTAAAATGAATATTAATTAATTCTAACGTATATTTTTTATTTAGCCTATTTTTCTTTCTCTCTCTCACATATATATACACACACAAACACACACAGATACATACTTCGTGTTTTTGCGTTTACGATACTTTCTCACACGTATTTTATCGTTCGTTCGTTCATTTGCGTAATTTTTATGAAATCTTTTTTTTTTTTTCGAATTTTCAACACCCTCGAAATTAATTCTTTTCGGGGTAAAGATAAAAAAAAAATGGTTTAGTACATTTGATTAATATTTCATTTATGTTCATATGTATTTATCTATTTATTTTTCTATTCAATCATTTATTTATTTATTTATTTATTTATTGTGGTTATATAAGTGTTAGGAATTAGGCACTGGCAATTTGATTGTTACAAACGAAGGTTTTCTAATCTTTCTGCGAATGAATGGGACATGGAGGAAGACTGGGAAAAGGGAGAGTCAATTCAATTAAATAATGATCTAAAAAAATCAAATGATCGATTAATCCAAATCAAATTAATTGGATTGATAATGTAGAATGAACGAAATTATTAAATAAACGAACGTGCCGTTGCATTTGTGGATCAGGAAAGATAATATTAGATAAACAAGAAAGTTCGTGCCGTTTCTACGTTAATGTATCATATATCTTCTATTGATTAAAACGACTAGAATTTTTTCAACTATTTAACAATAATAATAATAATAATAATAATTAATTAATTAATTAACCTTTTTAATACCTATACCTTTTTTTTCCTCTTGCTAACGCGTTCTTTTATATTACTAGATTTACAACAGAAAACAATTATTCCGCTTGAATGATAATACAAAATTTGCTTTCATACACATCTGAACGAACCCCTCGGTTGATTCTTAATATATAATTCAATTATATTTTATTCTCAATTCTTTAGCGTATAAACGAAGCGAGATTTTTAAACGACGACAAGCCCATACATCTTTTTTGTGTAATAACAATAACAATAATAATAGTAATAATAATAATAATAATAATACATATAAATATTACTTTATATCTCTTATTTTCTTTCTTTCACGCATACATACATACATACACACACACATATATACGCACATACTATCTATATTTTATTTCTATTAATCCTCATTTAATCTCTCTCAATTGTTAATCTCTCCTTATTCTCTATTTCTCTAGGAAACGTTTTACTTTGTACTGTTCGCTCTACTGGTTGCTCCTAGTGACGTAAATTCCGTAACAAATTACGGCCGGTAATCACAGCTCAGTAGTTTAGAATCACCTTTTCGATATATCGGTTTATCGATTTCCATTAATACGTGGGCGAATGTGTATATATAAATATATATATACATCTCTGTGTAACTCTGTTTGTTTGTGTGTGTATACATAAGAAGCAGTAGAACGAAGCTAATTTTTATATAACGAAATATATATATTTACTTTATTCCTTTCTCTCTTTCCCCTTCTACTTCTAATTCTATTTCTTCTTCTTAGAATCTGTGATCAATAAAATAAATAAATATATAATAAAAAAAAAAATATACTATCTTTTTTAATAATATACAGGAAAATAAAAAAATAATATAAAATGCAATTTAATAATGCCCTCATTTTTCTATTTGCGAGGGTGTAACATCTGTATTTTATTATTTATTAAATTTTTTGTATACTCGTAATAATTATACTCTTTTTATTGCTCTCTCTCTCTCTCTCTCTCTCTCTCTCTCTGTCTCTCTATTCTTCATAAATTTATTTTTATTTACCTGTCTCTGATAGACAAAATTTCACATCGAATTGTTTAATTAATTGATTATTTCTTTTTGGAATTTGATATAAACTATTGTATAGTTGTTACCGTGTGCAATTACCGATCATTTTACGTCACTTCTTCTTAAACCTATGCAGGACAATCGTACACCTGAATTTCTTTTGCTCTCTCTATCTCTTTTTCTCTCTCTCTCTCTCTCTCTCTCTCTCTCTCTCCTCTTCTTTCTAACACTTGTTTAATTATTGTTATTTAATTCATTTATTCGTTTATTACTAGATTTATTAATTCTTTCATCATTATTTCATTATTAATATATTATTTCTATTATTATTATTATTATTATTATTATTATTATTATTATTATTATTATTAACGTACTAATTTTTAAATCATTTCTCTTATTAGAATTATACACCCTATATACATACATATACATATAGGATGTTAATAATTATTATATATAATCAATAAACATTTTCATTCTCATTTATAACATTTTTTACTTCACTTTTATTTTCTTTATGTTTTTTAACAGATTGAACTTTTAATTTTCTATATTTCTCTCTTATTTTCTACTTTTCCACATATGAAAATACGTATACAATTACTCTAAAGAATATTATTAAAAAAATCAAATCGAAAATACAGTTCTATTAAAAATGTTATTAATTAAAATTATAAAACCGAACAAAAAAAATAAATAAAATAACAGGAAATATATTTTATATTATAAATCGAAATCACAGATATTTAATAAACATCCTACATAATTCTATATATGTATATATATTTTAATGTACGTACATGCACACACTCGTACACATTTGAAACACCCACGTTTATCAATCACGCATAATCGATGCATTCATTCGTCTTCGGATATGAGTGAGCATTTTTTAACGCGCAACGGGATTATTTATATTTAATATTATTCATTCATATCTTCTTAATAATAATAATAATATTTTTGGTTATTTATCTTCCACATTTTTTAAATTCTCTTTTTATCAAACGACATCGTCTCTTTGTACGTAATACGTATAATAAACTCTGTGACGTGTACACCAGCGTATATAATAGTCTATATATATATAATATATTATATTTATATATACATACATATATATTTATTTAATATATATATAAATAAATCAAGTGAGTCACTTCAAACTGATAAAAAATTAATATTTCATTTCTATTATGTGATAAAACAAAAAGAGTATATATAATCATTATTTCAATAAAAATATATTAAAACTTGTCATTTAATTAAATAAATTCAATTTGAAGTGAATTACTAATTTAATATATAATATATAAATAAATGTATGTATATATGTAACGTACGTGTATATCCTATACATATACATATTATCAATGTGTAGGTGTCTCTTTCTCTCTTTGTGTATGTATATATGTATGTATGTATTATTATTATTATCTGTTATATATATATATATAATATATGTATATATATATATGATAAACTTTAGCTAATAACACTTTAAAAACGGAGTTGACATAAAAAATAAATTATTACAATTTGGTTTAGACATTATTGACTGTACGTACACACAATGAAGTATCCTTTCATTCTGAATAACTATCATTTTGTTATCATTCCTTATCTCTCTTCTTTTTCTTCTTTTTATTTCTTTTTCTATTCCTCATTTGATTATTATAAATTTCAATTTCAATTAAATGGACGACCTGAGCTTTTTATCAAAATCTGAACGAACCACATTTGAAAATTCCCAAATTCCCGATTGAATTTTTTATGCATTATTACACATACATTCCGCGCAGTCTTTTCTCTGTGTATATATGTGCGTGCGTGTGTGTGTATGTGTGTATGTATCTGAACATTATTTGAATAAATATTATTTGAATTCTCTTTTAGGTTCCTACGCTAAACACAATTCCATACTTGTTTTTTATATGTTATATTGAACATCATGATTTTCTCTTGGTTAGAGAAAATGAGGAATAATTAAATAATTCATTAATTATGTAATCAATTCGTGATGAAATATTTCTCTTCTCTTTTCTCCGATTCTTAAAAAACATAAAACAAATTGTTTTTCTCCTTTTTATTTTCTATTCTTTTTGCGAGTAATCAGTATTTTTATCTATTATATTTAATCTTGTAATCTCGTGAATTGTTTTTTTAACAGACTAGTATCAAACACACTTGGATATGCAAATATTCGAATACAATTGAATAATCTCGAGTAAGTCACCTGTAATAAATATATTTTCTTTCTACTTTTGTAATCTCATTTGTAATCTCATTTGTAATCTCATTGATAAACTAATCGGTCGGTTTTTAAATCGGACATTATTACATTACATTTTATTATTTAACTTTTCTATTATTATTATAATTATTATTATTATTATTATTATTATTATTGTTAATATTATTACTATTATTATTATTTTTGTTATTGTTTGTTGTAAATTTATCTTGCAATAAAAACTAACTTTATAATCTGTTCTTTCATCTCTTAAATATATTGTATATA